ATGGCACATTGGGAGATTTCTATTCTCTCAACTGGCTTTAACAGGTGTTTTTCCTTCATCAGACACTGGCCCCCAAATTAGAACTGCACTTGCCTCCTTAGCGCGCATTGAGGCTGGCATTTCTTTTTTTTTTTTTTTTTTTTATTAATTTATTTTGCAATACAATTCAGTTCTACATATCAGCCATGGATTCCCTTGTTCTCCCCCCTCCCGTCCCCCTCACCTTCCCCCCAACCCCCCCCCCCCCCCATTCCCATCTCCTCCAGGGCAAAGCCTTCCCCACAGACTGAGGTCAACCTGGTAGACTCAGTCCAGGTAGGTCTAGTCCCCTCCTCCCAGGCCGAGCCAAACAATCCTGCATAAGTCCCAGGTTTCAAACAGCCAACTCATGCAATGAGCACAAGATCTGGTCCCACTGCCTGGATGCCTCCCAAACAGATCAAGCCAATCAACTGTCTCATCCATTCAGAGGGCCTGATCCAGTGGGGACCCCTCAGCCATTGGTTCATAGTTCATGTGTTTCCATTCATTTGGCTATTTGTCCCTGTGCTTTATCCAACCTTGGTCTCAACAATTCTCGCTCATATAAACCCTCCTCATTCTCGCTAATTGGACTCCCAGAGATCCACCCAGGGCCTAGTCATGGATCTCTGCATCCAGATCCCTCAGTAGTTGGATGAGGTTTCTAGCACAACAATTAGGGTGTTTGGCCATCCCATCACCAGAGTAGGTCAGTTCGGGCTGTCTCTCGACCACTGGAGGCTGGCATTTCTTATAGCAACTTTCCTCGGGGCTTGTGCTTGCCTTAGCCAGTCAGTGAAAAACAAGATCATTTACAACAGCTTTTCCATAGCTCCTTCAGAGAGATTTTCTCCCACTGATCTATCTCATTTTGCTTGTTCCTTCCTTCCCCAGATGCAGAGCTTCAGGTATCTGTCTGCGGCTCTGTTCCTCTGCTAGCTGCTTTTGGAGGTAGGGGCTTTCTTCCTCCCCCCCGAATCTGCCTCAAATTCTAGCAGCTTTTTCAGGTCACATATTTTCTGGGGAGGATTATGTCCCTTCTGTTTCTTTGGAGTCTTTCTCCCAGACAGATCCCAGTTTGGTCTCAATTTATCCCCTCTACCCCAGAAACAGTTTCCGACACTACAGTGGCGGCTTTCCCTGCTACTGAAAGGTAGGGGCTTTTTGTCCGTTTCTGTTTTCGGGGTCTGTGTGGTTTGCGTACAGACTGAAAATCTAACAAGGGAGGTTTTTGCCATTTCTAAACTCCCATTAGGACAGGTGCTTTGCTTCATCAGGCCTTCACCTGGCCCAGTCCCCCAGTGGGTTGCATTTGCTTGTCTGGGTGCTCAAGGACAGAGTTTATGCCAGAGACAATCACCCCTTAGGGCCACACTCCCTCATCTCAGGGAGTCAGTTGAAACAAAGCTTTTCTCAAAGAGGTGCTTTCTCTGACAGAAAAGAAAGCTTTACTCCTGGATAGTTCTGTTCTGCCCTGGCTGGGCTCTTTCCCCAGACAGCGTTCTGACTCAGCAGCATGACTGCTTCAGACACAGTTTAGCTTTACTGTTTTCCCAGAAAGGTCCTTACTTTGATAGAAAAGCTTTTTTTTCAGATTTCTTTTTGCAGCTGTGCACCTATAAACCTGGGACTTGTAGGAAAGCAGACAACTGTGCTGTTCCCACTGGCTTTAGCTTTGTTGTTCATTAGCAATCTTCCCCTGGATCCTGCACCTTCCTGCCTCAGCTCTGTGCTCCAGGAAGTTTACAACTGCAGGAACCCTAGTATCCTCGAAATGCACTCCAACTCAGAGACGCTGGCCAGTCGCCTCTGGGTTTTTGGTCAGAAGCAAGGATACAAGGCTAACAGTTTACATTGCTTCAGGGGATCTTTGCATTAGGACAATTGGAAGCACCTTTTCATTCTGAAATGCTCACTCAGAAACAAAACCCTTGATGCCTCAGCTCGGCTGTAACTGAAAAGCTTGGCTTTTTTGCTTTTCTCAGGTAAAGTTTCCGGCCCTTTTGGGCTCTCTGTAGCTCTTTACCCACACTCTCCCAAGCGTTTCCCTCAGGGTACTCTGACCAACTGTCTTTTCCTGGCTTGAAGAGACAGAGCTTAGAAGAGAGGTTTTTAGGGACTTGTCCCTGCCTCCTGCATTGCAGGAAGGATTTTTAAAGCTCGAAAGAACTTAGGTTTTGCTGTCTTAAGAGGTTTGTTGTTTTCCCTTTGAGCTAATCACAGGTGGTCCCCATACTAATATCTTCAGGTGATTCTAATTTTTGTCCTTCTGAGAGAGTTCTGAAAGGTTTTAGTTTTTAAGTTTGAAAGCTTTTAAGATTAAAGCTTTTTAGAGAGTTTTTCCCCCCAAATTTTCCAAGAAAAGCTTTATAGTTTAAGAGAAAGACTTTTTTCCCCAGGAGAAAGACCAACTTTTCCCAAAACTTCCCAACTTTAAACTTTTTGGCTTTTTACACCCCCATTTTTGCCTCAGGGAGAAATCACTTTCTCCTGCCGCTTGGACTTAGCATTTCAGCTGTCCCCAGGTCAAAAGCTTCCATAGGAAACTTTTTCTTCCCCATAAGCTCAGAGAAGAGCTTTTTTACTACCCGAAAAGCCCAAAGAAAGATTTTTTTCCCAGTTTGCATTCATAGCCCCCAAAGTTAGAAAATTGGAGAGTTTTTCTGTCTAGTTGCCTTACTTATTTTTTCCTACACAATCTTACACTTCTAAGTTTTTCCTACACTGTTTTACTACCCTATGCCTTATTTTTCAGATAGAAATTGAGAAAGGGATAGAAGATAGAAAATTTTGACAGAAGAGAATTTCGCTGCAGCATCAGACATCCTTCCAGTCCGTTTTCCTTTTCTCTCGAGGATAAAACCCCTGCCTCTCAACAATATATATATAATATATATATATATATTTTCCATAACACCGGCATGCCTTTCCACTGGCAGGGCTGACTCAGCACCTTTGCCAAAAACTCTGTAATAAAACTATTATTTTCCTTTATCTTTAGTCCCTATTACTTTGTCTTTAGTCCCTGTTCATTTGTCTTTAGTCCCCCTTTTTTTTAGTCCCCCTTTGTTTCTTTAGTCCCTTTTTTTCTTCTTTCTTTAGTCCCTGTTCATGGCGCCATTCTGTGGGGCGTTTACCCAACCACCCCCACAGTTCCCCAGAGTTTTCTTGAGTGCAAGCAGCAGGAAATATTAGATAGAAGGATTTATTGCAGAGAATCTTGCGGAGATAAACAGATAGAAAATAAAGGATAGCCTCGAGAGGGCCTGGAACCTATTCCAATGGGCCCCGACTGTCTCTGGGCCAGGGTTTTTATAGAGACGCCAAGGGGTGGAGCAAAAGACCTCCTCCCCCAGCACAGCCAAGTGCAGACCATCTCAGACACCTGCACTCAGGCCCGTGGTCCTAATCATCCTCTATGTGGACCTGCTGGGTAAAGCCACGAGGAACCCGAGAACGGGCTCCCACAGTCTCCCATGGGGAATCAGCAGAGCCCAGCACACTGAGCCTAGGCAGGTTCAAGCTCCTTCCCACTGCACCAAGGCGCCACACCACAGGCACTGGACTCCCAAAAGCCTGCCTATGCACCAGGGACAGATCCTTGTCCCCCTGCCTGGGTGCCCCCCAAACAGTTTGAGCCAAACAATCATCTTCCATATCCAGAGGGCTTAGTCCAGTCCCATGGAGGCTCCACAGCCACTAGTCTACAGTTCATGGGCGTCCACTAGTTTGGCTGATCATCTCTGCACATCTTCCCATCATGATCTCATCATCACCCCACCTGCAGAATCCCTCCTCTCTCTCATCAATTGGATTCCCAGAGCTCAGCCTGGTGCCTGGCCATGGATTTCTGCATCTGCCTCCATTAGTTACTGGACAAAGGCTCTATGATGACAGTTAGGGTAGTCACTAGACGGGTCACCAGAGTAGATCAGTCCAGGCACCCTCTCCACCACTGCCAGCAGTTTAAGGTGGGGTCATTCTTATGGATTCCTGAGAGCCTCCCCAGCACCCTGCATCTTCCTATTCCCATTATGTTCTCATCTATCCTGGTATCTCCCTCCCTGCCCTCCCACTCTGTCTCTGTTCCAGCTCGACTCTCCAATTTCCCTATGTTCTCATCCCCCACTTCTCTCCCTCTGCCACCCCTCCCACTCCCAGTCCACTCATGTAGATCTCATCCACTTCTCCTTCACTGGGCCATCCATGTGTCTCTCCTAGGATCTTTCCCTGTTAGCTAGCTTCTCTGTTGCTGTGGGTTGTAGTCTGGCCATGCCTTCCCTCACATCTAGTATCTACTTATGAGTGAGTACATACCATGTTTGTCCTTCTGAGTCTGGGTTACCTCATTCAGGATGATATTTTCTAGTTTCATCCATTTGCTTGCAAATTTCATGATGTCATTGTTTTTTACTGCTGAGTAGTACTCCATTGTGTATATGTGTCACATTTTCTTTATTCTTCAGTTGAGGGGCATCTAGGTTTTTTCCAGGTTTGTGCCATTTTGAATAATGCTGATATGAGCATAATTGAGCACGTGTCCTCCAGCAAGGGCTCTTAACAGATGCTTCCAAATAATGGCCAAAGCTCTAGAAGATATTGAATGATGTACTTGAGATTTGTCTTGGCTGGAGGAAGTCTTGACTCATTACAACTCTGGGGAATGCAATGTGTGTGCTCACTAAGTAGAAATTCTTGTTGGTCATTTCATTCATTATTAGTTGCAGAGGTAGTAGATTTCAAATTTCATAACAATCAGGACACATAAGATGGAACAGAAGGACATTACTAGATTTTAATAATAAGTGTAGATGATTTTGAAAAGCATGATAACTCTGAGGTCCACACCTTGTAAAACTGTAATATTTCTTTGGGAACGTAATGATATATAGTTAGTAGCACAGGCCTCATGAACTGAGAAGTTGATCCTTATGATTCTAGCAACTGATTCAGAGAAAATGTGTTTTCTCCCTCTCTAGGTTTGGCCATTGTGCTGAATGCTCAGTTGGGTGAGTTATTGGCAAAAATCTTACTTATATAAGTCTCTAATATTTATTAAGTATTCCTAATGCAATCATCTGCCTGTCATGATTCCTTTTAGTATTACATCCTCATATTGGTTTATTGGAAAAAGATATTATGAGATAATCTACTTGGGGTAAAGGAAGTGGTTGGCTTTATGGATAGTAGACTCACATCAGCTTTCACTGCTCTCTCTAGTGAGATGTGCTAAGAGTTTGAAACTGGTAAGTTCTGTGCTTACAGGAATTATGTGTTTGTTTTCTCAAGAGGCTCCAAAGGTTAGCCATAATTTGAATATGAATCTGTACACTTAATGAATAAATATACAATAATTGATTGGAATAGTTCTGTATAACTGGTATATGAATAACAGCAAGGGGAAGAGGAAAGGCAAAACTGTTAGCAAGTTCCCTGGTATCTAAATGAGGGCATTGTTCTGATAAATTTCCCCAGCTTCTGCCTACAAGTTGATGTGCTTTTCTCACATATCGACCAAGAACTTGCCTGACGTGGGGAGTTTCAATTTTGGTTTTATTGACTCCTGCTTGTGTACTCACATAATCTTTAACTTTGGTTGGATGCCAAACAATAAAATCATCATGAAAAATGAGGTGGACTTGAAGGAGTCCAAAGGTATATATGATCTGAAAAACAGGTAAGAGAAGGACCAGGTTTGAGATACTTGGTTTGGTACCTGTGTGTCAATAGTTGCCACTTGTCAATGATTCTTTAAATGTAGTTCAGAATCAAAATGTTCAAGTTGACAATCTGCCTATGTATTTTTCTTGAATGTTAAGTTGAGGCAGACTGGCTACTATTCTTGTGTATCATCTTCGATTTCTGACTATAGTATAGAATAGTTCATGATCCCATTAGTGTATATGTCATCTCACCTACTTCTACCTGACAAGGTAAGACTTCTTCTTATTCAATGTCCTTGCACATATTCTTCATATTTCATTAATTTTTGACTATGTTTTCCCCATTCTTTCTCTTCTTCCCATTTGCTAAGAATAACCGTTCTACTTTCATATTCTATGTGTCTGAACATCTTAGTTAGCACTTGTAAGTCAGACCATGTTCTATTTGTCTATCAATTACCTTTTCACATAATGTAGTGTCCACCTGATTCACAAACAGAGTTGCAAATAGCAGCCTTCCTTCTTTTTGTTCAAACAGTATTGGAGGGTTTATGTATAGCACACCATTATCCATTCATCCAGTGCCAAAAACTTTCTGTGATACCAAGTTATGTTTTGAAAATAATGCTACAGTTCCTGTCAAGTGCTCTCATCCTTTAGAAAGAAAATGATTTCATGTACTTTAAGATATAAACTACATGAAATCATTTTCTTTCTAAAGGATGAGAGCACTTGACAGGAACTGTAGCATTATTTTCAAAACATAATGATTTCATGTACTTTAAGATATAAACTAAGGGGACTAGACCTACCTGGACTGAGTCTACCAGGTTGACCTCAGTCTGTGGGGAAGGCTTTGCCCTGGAGGAGATGGGAATGGGGGGGGGGGCGTTGGGGGGAAGGTGAGGGGGACGGGAGGGGGGAGAACAAGGGAATCCGTGACCGATATGTAGAACTGAATTGTATTGCAAAATAAATTAAAATAAATTAAAAAAAAAAAAAAGATATAAACTAAGGGCCGGGCGGTGGTGGCGCATGCCTTTAATCCCAGCACTCGGGAGGCAGAGGCAGGCGGATCTTTGTGAGTTCGAGGCCAGCCTGGTCTACAGAGTGAGATCCAGGAAAGGCACAAAGCTACACAGAGAAACCCTGTCTCGAAAAACCAAAAAAAAAAAAAAAAAGATATAAACTAAGCAGTGTGGTTGCTAGGTCATATAGCAATTTTATCTTTCTGAAGGATCTCCACAGTGCTTTTTAAAGTGACTATACAGTTATATTTCTACCAATTGTGTACAAGGGTTTTCTTTATTCACACCCTGATAAAATTGGATATTTTCATCTTTATTATACTTATTGAGATAGACATGAGACATTCTCTCAATGTGGTTGCAATTTAAATATCTCTCTTTGAAATGTGTTAGGTTGATTGTCATTCACCTGTTAGGTTTCATATTTTGAGAAATGTCTATTTAAGAGCTTTGCCCACTTTTTCAAGGATGATTTATTTCTTAATTTGTAGTTTATTTCATTCCTTGTATATATATTCAAATTAATTCCTTAACATTGTATAATTTAAAGTATTTTCATCCAGAGTAATGTAAATTTCTTCATGCAGTTGATTTCTCTTTTTCCCCAGATTCATAAAAGAAACTCTTTTCTTCACTTTTTAATAGTAGCCTATACGTTTAGGAATATTTTCAAGCAATGTCACTGCACAGATGACTCCAATGACTTTTTTTATTATTTTCTTACAGGAATTTAGTACATTTAGACCTTAATTTATATCTCTATTCCACTGTGAGTTGATTTTTTTCCTATGGTGTGAGACTGTGAAACAATTTTTTTAGTGGCCTATAGAGAAGACTGATTTTCTAGCAACCTCTTGCTGCAGGATGCTGCCACTTATGGCTTGGAATCCATGTGTCAACTGAAAGGAAGCACACAGTCTTTTACAAATCCTGATGTGATCATTATGACATCCCATGGGATGAGTATCTTTCTTTGTCTCAGGGATTGATTTTTGCATCAGAGGATTTTTTTAAAAATGGAAAAAGAAATCTTAGCTTTCTACTTCAGGAAGTAAGAACTGAAGGATGTTAGAATTTAGACAGAACTGATTCCCAGATTCAGAAAATTTGATTTATTGTAATTTTCCTTTTTTATGAGTCAAGCACTCATATTCTGCAATTTGCATGTTTTAGTTTACCTATAACTATGATGAGGAAAACTCAAGTGACTTCTATATTCAGTAGTGACACGTTCCTTAGGAATAATCTAAGGTATGATTTCTAACTGAAAGCAAACTCATCTAAAGGAATTTCCTTACTTTTTTTCCTTTCATTTTCCTGCATCAAACTAAACCAAACACTGAAAGTAATCCCCGGCCATATGTCAGATCACAGAATCTGATCTCCAAGGAAGAAACAGGAAACTTAAAACTCAAATGTCTTATCACAACTGACAATCATAATTATTTGGGAGCTAATTCTCAAAACAACTATTCCAATGAAGATGTGCACTTTCAACTGAATTTATTTGTATTCTTTTTGTGGAGGTTGAGAAACTCGTAAAGCTAAAATAATCTGTCATTTTATGTCATCAGGAAGAATATGAGCTAACTGTGACTCTAAGTTATTGGCACAGAAATGCAGTTAGTACACTACATGGAAAACTTTTATTGAGGACCTAACTTTAAAGACATTTCATTATAAAAATATAACAAAGAGTTTTTGTACAAAATTTTCAAAAGTAATAGAAAACTATACTGGCATGGGGTTTTTTTTCATGGCACCACAGTACTAAATAATATGAGTAATGTAGAAATCACACTGACACTTTATATAAAGGAAACCTAAGGTTTCTCTATTTTTCTTTTTCTGTTGTTTTTGAGGAACAAAGAACTGAAAACTCTCCTGGCCATTGGAGGCAGTGAGCTTCATTCTAACCAGTAAGTTCTGTACACATGATTGATTGTTCTTTGCTAGTGTAACCAAGCTATGGCAACACAATCTAATTTCATTAAATCTATTTTCAAAAAGTTATTAAGAATATCCATTGGGTAAATGGATTAACTAATTTGTTTCACTAGAAACTCAAATAAACATAATGCACTCTTTACAAGGCCATATGTGGCTTTCACAAATTGAAATTTATTTGGGTATGCTAGCCTCTCTCTTAGTGATAGTTACCTACTACAAAGTCCTGTTTCTCTAAGTAACTAAAAACCTCCAGGTCAGAGAAGTTTCATATACTGCTTCTTTTCAACACATCATGAACTAAATTGAGGGCTGCTCATACAAAAGAAACATGCTTTGATTTAATATAAACTGAGGTATGTTTGAAGACAGTATATGATTGATTAGCTAGGATGGAAGGCTATTAAAAATGAAATGGTGCCCGTGGCCATATCAGAGGAGCAGCAGGTGGCAATTCAGGTTCAAGGTGTCAGCCCACCAGGAGGCAATTCTCTGGTGGTGAATCTCGGATAGGCAAGGCCCCGAGACCACAGACCCTGGAATATCTTCTGCTTCTGCTGTGCCTTTACATATTTGCTGCTCATATCTTTTTCTGGTATCTGGTATGGTGTGAATGGGTGTGGGAGATCCCCATTGCCTATAATGTAGCAAGTTTATCTCATGGAAACATCCTGCTCTACTGTGCATTTTTGACTATGGATTATTATGAAGATGATTTTTTTCCTAAGCTGTACTGTCTAAATGATAATATTAAATAAATGATAAACAAAATAATGTTAGTTTAAGTAGAGTTTTGATGATTAAAATATAAGTAAGGAAATTTCACACTGCTACAATACATGAGTTTCTATTGAGGAGTGATATAGACTGTGGCTTAGGTTAATGATTAAGAAAAACAATTGAGTCCCAGTTAGCCTAGCTAGCTTAAATTATTTTTTTAATCTGAACATATAGGCTTTATTTATTAATTTATTTTTTATTAAGAGATTTTCTATTCATTTTATATACCACTCACAGATTCCCCCTGTCCTGCCTCCTCTCACCCCCAGACTTCCCCCCTAAACTACCCCCCATTCCCACCTCCTCCAAGGCAAGGTCTCCCATGAGGAGGCAGCAGAGCCTGGTATATTCAGTTGAGGCAGGTCCAAGCCCCTCCACTCTGTACCGAGGCTGTGCAAAGTGTCTCAGCATAGGCACTAGGCTCCAAAAAGCCGGCAATGCACTAGGAACAAACAGCTCCTGATCCCACTGCCTGGGGGCCTCTAAACAGTTCAAGCTAAACAACTATCTCAGTTACCCAGAGGACCTACTCGAGTACCATTGGTGCTCCTCAGATATTGGTCCACAGTTCATGTGTTTCCACTAGTTTGGCTAGTTTTCTCTGTACTTTTTCCAGTCATGGTTTGATATCCCTTGCTCATAGAATCCCTCCTCTCTCTCATCAATTGGACTCCTGGAGCTCCGCCTGGGACTTGGCCGTGGATCTCTGCATCTGCTTCCATCAGTCACTGGATGAGGGTTCTATGATGACAGTTAGGGTATTCAGCCATCCAATCACCAGAGTAGGCCAGCTCAGGCACCCTCTTGACTATTGCCAGTAGTCTATAGTGGAGCCATACTTGTGGAATCCTGGGAACCTCCCTAGCACTCTACTTCTCCTTATTCCCATGGCATCTTCATTTATCATGGTGTCTCTTTCCTTGCTCTCTCACTCTGTTCCCATTCCAGCTCAAACCTCCCACTCCCCTAAGCTCTCATGCCCCATCCCTTGTCCTCCATTACCCTCCTTCACCCCCAGTTTGCTCATGTAGATCTCATACATTTCTCCATCAATGGGCAACCCAGGAAGCTTCCTAGGGTCTTCCCTACTAGCTAGCCTCCACTGAGCCATGGGTTGCAGTCTGGTTATCCTTTGCTTTATATCTAGTATCCACCTATGAGTGAGTCCATACCAAGTTTGTCTTTCTGAGTCTGGGTTACCTCACTCAGGATGATATTTTCTAGTTCCATTCATTTGCCTGCAAACCTCATTATGTCATTGTTTTTTACTGCTGAGTAGTACTCCATGGTGTATATGTACCACATTTTCTTTATCCATTCTTCAGTTGAGGGACATCTAGGTTGTTTCCACATTCTGGCTATTACAAATAATGTTGCTATGAACATAGTTACATAGTTGAGTATGTATTCTTGTGGTATGATTGAGCATTCCTTGGGTATATGCCCAAGAGTGGTATAGCTGGGTCTTGAGGGAGGTTGATTCCCAATTTTCTGAGATACCACCATACTGATTTCCACAGTGGCTGTACAAGTTTGCATTCCCATCAACAGTGGAGGAGTGTTCCCCTTGCTCCACATGCTCTCCAACATAAGCTGTCTTCAATGCTTTTGATCTTAGCCATTCTGAGGAGTGTAAGATGGTATCTCAGTGTCATATTGATTTGCACTTCCCTCATGACTAAGGATGTTGAGCATTCCTTAAATGTCTTTCAGCCATTTGAGCTTCTTCTGTTGAGAATTCTCTGTTTAGCTCTATAGCCCATTTTTTAATTGGACTGTTAGGTATTTTGAAGTCAAGTTTCTTGAGTTCTTTATAAATTTTTGAGATCAGCCCTTTGTCAGATATGGGGTTGGTGAAGATTTTTTCCCATTCTGTAGGCTGTCATTTTGTCTTATTGACCATGTCCTTTGCCCTACAAAAGCTTCTCAGTTTCAAGAGGTCCTATTTATTAATTGTTGAAAGATGTGTTTACAGGTTTCAGAGTGCATCACAGCTAAAACAAAGTTGAAAATATCTTAAAGTTAGACTAAGATGTTTTTGTCAAGTAACTTCAAGATGAAAAACCAAAGAAGATAAAGTTTTAGAAAGGCATAGAGTTGAATGTGAAACTCTTTAAATTCAGAGAGCAAGAACAAAGCAGCCCAATTGTTACTAGCTGACATATATTTCTTGCTAGGATTGGTTGATGACAGAAGGTGATGATTAATTCCTTGTACCCATTTTTTGTTCTAAATCTCCTGATATAAAAACCTATTGATGAGTGAGTATGTACCCTAAAGTTTAAAGCAGAACTGACTGATTATTTTTCATATATAAGTTTAGGTTTGTGATTCCTTTAAGATTCCTTATAAGATTACCTTTCATGATAAGTAATAAAGTAATTGGCTCTCTCTTTGTAACTACAAAACTGCAGCCTGCCAGTAAAAGACCTGGCTGAGAACAACATCTTGCTTGCCTACATTGTTAATATATAACAAGTTGCTTGGGTATGAATGTATGTGGGTTCTTGGAATTATTTGTTTTCCATCTATAATACATAAAATGTTTAATCATGTAAGAAATATGAAAACATAATATTTTTTTACTGTTTGTTTTGTATTCGTTGTAGTCATTAACTTGAAAAACAGAATGTAACCACATTGTAATTCCTATATTGCTTCAAAAACTTTGTTGGGGCATACAAGCTGTAGAAAAAGAAGTATACTATAGAAAGAACACAGAAAGAACAGTGAAGAATAGAGAATGAAGAAGGAAATCATCAAGATAAAATGTGAGTGTCTTTTTCCCCTAACCCCCTACAATACCAAAGTCATAGTACGTGCCAACTCTGTGGCTTCCCTTTGAGGCCTGTGCTGTTAGAGGCTGGTGCTCCAGGCAGCAGTACCTGGCAAGGGGCTGCAGCACCATGAGTGAGATCCTATCAATGGCGACCATTAGAGGACTGCCTCTTCTTTCAGGGCAATCCCCAAGAGAATTCTGCACGCTGGACAATCTCCAAGAAGAGCTTCCACTCCTCCCCATACAGTCTTCTTGATTATTCTGTCAATGTCCCTGTTCCTGGTGCTATATTCATCCATCAGGGATGAATATAGGCTGACACCTTGAACTTCAGCTGCCACCTGCTGCTCCTCTGACTCCACCACTAGCAAAATGACAATCTAATAGTACTTATGGTGGGATTAATAAAACAAAGGGAATGCTGAAGTGTCATTGCTAACAGGTAGTTTGCAAGGGGAGGCTGGAAACAAACCAGGGAGCCTTGGAGAACAACACAAATTCTGAAATTAGCTGTGAATTCTGAAATTGCCAATGTGATAATTTTACACAAATCTTTACTTATCTTCCTTTGGTCTCCCTCAGGTTCAGTGCCATTGTGTGTACTGCTCAGAGCCGTCAGAATTTCATTACATCAGTCATCAATTTCCTGCGCATAAACAATTTTGATGGGCTGAACCTGGACTGGCGTTACCCTGGGTCTGGTGGAAGCCCACCTAAGGACAAGTATCTCTTTACTCTCCTGGTGAAGGTGGGGAAATCAGGAGATGTCTTCATTCCTAGAAGACTCAAAGTCTCTCCTTTCGAAGGAGAATTGGGTTCTTTTAGAGTAAACCAAACTAGAATTTATAATTATAGATTCTTATCATTGCATAGGTCCTGAAATATCATTCATTGATTCAACAAGCATGTGGGACATTACACCACATGTAGGTGTAGAATGATAATGTATCTTCATATGTTGTCTATGATGTGAGTTATGGAGTCATTATGATCTTTATGTTACAGACAAATAACTAATATACAGAAATGGCTTTAGTAATTTTGCCAGAGTCATTCAGATAACAGTATCATGTCTGCCAATTTTATTTCCCTACTGAGTTCAAACCTCATAGCAATTACATCAGAATATATATCTAGAAGTGACTGAAAATGGTATATTCAATGGTAGTTAATAGGTACAGTATTGGTGAAATTTTTAAGGCCACTCCACGTAGTTAAAAGGCTAAAGACGAAAATAAACTTGCTTCAAATTCAAATTCAAATTCAAATAAATATGCTTCAAATTATTCTCATCTAAGGTATAACACTACAACCTACAAAACAATTGAACTACATCTTGGTAATGACCATGAGAGGGGTAAATAGGGTACAATAGAAGTTCAAACGTGTGTGTAACTGACTTTGTGTGAAAAGGATCAGAAAGAGATTCTGAGTAAGTGAAGCCTGAGTTTAGTCTATGAAGAAAAAAAACATTGTCATCAAATTCGTTAAGCATGGGTCTGTCACAGTGAAGTGATAGAGATTAATGAGCAAGTCACTTTGTGAGACATTTCAGTTTACAAAGGTGGCAATTTCTGATTATGAGGGAGCTTTTGTCATAGATAAAGATATATAATTCTCCTGCAGGAACGTGGGATATTTTGAGGGGTTGTAGATAGTGGGGAAATATGACAGAACTTGGTTTTTTGATGATTATTATGATATTAACTAAAATCAATTAGCGTGAGCAGCTAAGAATTCAGTAGAAAGCTGTTGAAGTAAATTAGGGGACCTGTGATCAGAGACAAAAGTGGTTTTACAAGAAGGAAGGAGGGCATGTAGACAGAGAACATAAACATTAATGGGAATAAGGGACCATTTTGTGCTATAGATGAAAAAACATCCTAATTTTCAGACATAAAGGACAATATCAGAATACATTTCTTTGTTGAGAGTAAATTACAATAACAGTTGATTTAGTGACAGGAACTTACTCTTTTACCTATGAACATAGCGAATGTGAAGTATGGAGATGAAAACATGCACTGAAAGAATGCTGATAATAGATTTCATGATCTAGACCATGACTTTAAGTACTGTTCTGAAAAGGAAGGGTGGTGATCATCCAGCAAATACCAGAAGAAGAAGAATCAAAGATTGGAGAAGGTTTTTAAAATGTAGTCATTTCTATAATACTTGTATAAAAAAAGAAAAGAATTTTATTTGTCTATTTAATTTTTGACAGATTGGTCTACCACTGATCTACACAGATACACTCAACAACAGATTCTTTACAATAACACTCTTACCATTAGATATTTTCCCAACCTCTGAAGAGTTTCAATATTTTGTACCAACTAAATGACAGGTAGCTTCTATTGGATAGCTATGATATGAGTAATGATATGAAACAAATTTCTGTGCAAAATTTACAATTCCCAGCCATTGTTTCTAGGTGATTTCTCTTCAACAGGACAAAATTAAAGCAGTCATGCTGCATTTTATGCACTTAATATTTGGAGACAGCTAAAACACTTTTCTTCTTGTGCTTCTTTCACCAGTAAAGTGATCTTATTGTTTGACCCATTTGCAACAATGCAAATTCTGGGAAAGTACTTTAGAAACAGTTTCTAGAACACCCCAAAACAGTGATGAGAGATAACCTGAGTATTGAAGATGAGAATAGAGTCACATAGAATCTAGGCAGATTACAACAGGCAAGAATTTGACCTGTTACACAGTTCTTACCAACTTTCCAGTTCATCAGTTCAGCATATCACTAGACAGGATGTACAGCCTATAAGCTAATTCATCTAGTCAGCAATGGCAGCTCTCTCCACAACACTGCAAGGGGATGCAGGGAACTGCCGAAAGACATTTCCAGAGAGCTGAATACAAGAGCAGCTCTGACCAAACTTTGGAGCCTGGATACTGACCACTATAAGTTACTAGATGTTGAACATATTGATATTTTTAAATGTCTATACATATTAGAAAGTCATATATTTAGTAATAGCATCTAATCTCCTGAATTTGTTGAGGTAAGAACATCATAAATTAAGACAAAATACAAAAACGTGTATTGCAAGAAATTTAAGTCTATATACATTTATTTTTAAAAGAACTGAAATAAGCTTGAAATAACAACATCAAATAATTTTTGTAGGAAATGGCGTGAAGCTTTTGAGAAAGAATCCTTAGAGAAACAAAAGACCAGGCCACAGTATCTGGTATCATCTCCATCACTGAGCATGCCTACAAGATTCCTGAACTGTCACAGTGAGTGAGGATTCATATTCACAATTTCTGTTAGTATTTACACAGAACACACTTATCTTTCTTGCTGCTCTACTGTTCTGAATATAGGCCTTATAAAGGGAATGTTTTGTTTACATTGACAAGAAAAACAGCACCCAGAATGAACTGAATTTGAATTTATAAGTAAGATTTTTATTTATTCTTTAAATATTTCATACATTTCTGTAATGTATTTTGATTAAATTTATTCACCATTGCCTCTCTCCAAATTTTCTTCATTCCTTACAACCTTTATCCCATTGAATTCAATATTTCTTGTTTTGAGTTGTTTATGACCTTAATGCCACTGTAATCCAATTAGTTTTGCCTATATGTGCATGGTTGTGGGGTTATCCATAGTTTCACACATATATAATTGTGGCAATATTCCCCATGGAGTTTGAATTTGTTTTTCTCAGCAGCCTTTAATCATCAGTAGCTTTTTCCCCAAGTTTGTTTCATGAAATGGGCACTGTTTTAATTTTGGCTGACTTAATATTGGTAGGTCTTGTGCAGGTAACCACAGCCACTGTGAGTTAATGTGTGCAACAGCCAAACCTCATCCAGATATCAGCATTTCACAGTCTTCCTCCCAAGTTACCACCAGCATATAATGTCTTTGCACTGGCTCTTCTATGACATTCATTGAGCCTTCGAGTTGTTTGGTTGTGATATACATGTCTGATCCACAGTTGAGGATTCACAGTTACTTGGGTTCTGTACTTTAAACAATAATGAGTATCTGCATTAACCACTATCTACTAAAAAGAGCAAGTTCTCTGAAAGACTTTAAGAACACTGTGGATATAAACATAAATATTTAAAATATAGTCTAACAGCATGACCATAAAGGAAAACAACAAGTTTGATTCCCTCTTGGGTCTGTGAGCTCACTGGGATTGTACTTTTGTCCAAGTTTACAGTAGCAGGCATGAGATTCATCCCTTTACCAGGCATTTAATACAATCAGTAAATAGTTATTATTTCCATAACCATTATGTCTTTAATGCATAATTGCTAATCAGGGCAATTTTGTAATATGCAAGGTCTAGCACTCAGTAAGACTGTTGTATTTTCTCCCCTACCAGATTACATAACTTTTTTGACATGATGTAGGCTTGCTAACAGGAAAACACTTTTCATTGTCATTTTCAGTTTTCAGGCTTATTTTTCTGTCTTGCGTTAATGTGTGTCCCATTCAACAATCAGATATTATCATTCTGTTCCACTGAACATCAAAGACAAATGGCAACATGGTGGGTTGTTTTAGATGTCTCTAATGCCTACCTGATTAATAACTTGTAGGGAAGTCTTCCATATATCACATGGACACATTCATTTAATAAACCTATTCATGCTGGGTACTTTTGTTCAAACTCATTTTTGTGTGTTTTATTTTAGTCAGCTTACAAGTTTGTAGGTTGGCAGATTTCTAAAATCTTAATTTTTTTCTAAGCCACTCTTCACTCTCCTCCCCAAAATCTGTACTCTGCCATGAAAATGTTTACCATATAACCCAAAACCCTTTCAATTCCTCTCTCTCTCTCTCTTCTCTCTCTGTGTGTGTGTGTTTTGTGTTATGTATAGCCCTAGATTAATTTTTTACTTGAGTAGAAGAATATAACTTTCAAAGTAGAATTTTCTAGAACATTTCATTATAGATAAAATGAAATTGGAAAATGGGAGTAGCCAAGGCAGGAAGTTTAAAATCTCAATGGATAGGGAAACGATACAATGCAGAGCTTTCAGAAATTTGACCAAAAAGAAGAATGATTCTTAGGACTTTCTTTTTTTTCCAGATCCCTTGATTATATTCAGGTCATGACATATGATCTCCATAGCTCCAAGGATGGCTACACTGGAGAAAACAGTCCCCTCTATGAAGGTCCTTCTGACCATGGCATTAGTGCCTACCTCAATGTGGTAAGACCCTGGACAACTTCAAATGAAAATGAGAAATGTCTAATACCTTGGGAGATTCAATCACAAAATAAACATTAGCTGAGCTTATGCAATCTTCTTAAGCTACTTAGCAGATCTGAAAAACTAAGTCAGCAATATATTTTTAACTCTTATATTTTTGGTTGTGAGGCTAGCCTTTAACGGCTGAGCCATCTCTCCAGCCCAATTTTTAAAAACAGATCTAATTAATTTTTCATTAAGGTCACACAATTTGAGCTCTCGGAGCAGAAACTAACCTAAGTAAGCACAGATCACCAGCTGCTTTGACTCTATTACTACCTTCTGCTACTGCAGGACTACATCATGACCTACTGGAAGAACCATGGGGCTGATCCTAAGAAGCTCATTGTTGGATTCCCCACATATGGACAAACCTTCACTCTGAGTGATCCCTCTGACAATGGAATTGGTGCCTATACCATTAGTGAGAAGCACACATATGAAAAAGGATTATGGGCCTACTATGAGGTCAGTAGATTGTTATAGAGTGGTCTATGAACTGCAGGCCAAGTTCTTTAATCTTGGCACTGAAACCTACTGAAAATGAATGCTTATTATGTGTAGTACCTACATGACTCAAGCAGAATGACCGTTCTAAATGATTTATTTTTATTATTTTTAATTAATAGTTAATAGAGAATAATTTAGAATATACGGGATTCCTTCATATGATAGATCAATGGTACTTAACCTTCCTAATGCTGTGATCCTTTCACATAGTTCCTCATGTGTGGTGATTCCCAACTAAAAATTTATTTTGTTGCTACATCATAACTGTAATTTTGCTACTGTTATGAATAATGATGTAAATATCTGATATGTGACCAACGTAGGGGTTGCTAACTACAGGTTGAAAACCTAAATCATACCCTTAGGTCTGCTAATAAGACCATGTAGTTAAAAGGGAGGTTTATTTTGTTGGGTAACTTACAAGCAAAGGGATAGGTTACAGGGTCCAGGAAAGGTGTAGCACAGTCCAGCTCTGTTCTCTGGAAAACTCTGCTCTGTCTACCTCCAGCATCCAGGATCCAGGAAGCAAGAGAGCCGGCACATTCAGATCTCAGGTCTTAAGGGCTCCTGTCTTGGCCCTTTCTTGTAGGTGTGACAGGTACTGAAGCCTCAATGGGGGTAGTACTTCCAGGTCAAAGCTGGAACAGCTACCCACTACAAACAAAGTGTATGCTATTTTTCTTTTTTGGTATTAATGCTTAAATATTTGAATCTCTCCAATATTTAAAGATTTGCAACTTCTTGAATCAAGGAGCCACTGAGAAATGGAATGCCCCTCAGGAAGTGCCCTATGCTTTTAGGAACACAGAATGGGTTGGCTATGATAATGTCAAGAGCTTCCAGATTAAGGTAAATTCAGTCCATTGGATGTGCAGAGATCTCATTTCTGACTCACAGGGATCAAGTAACTCATATCCTCTGTTTAAACAGGCTCAGTGGCTCAAGGACAATAACTTAGGAGGTACTATGGTCTGGCCCCTGAACATGGATGACTTCACTGGTTCTTTCTGTAACCAGGGAAGTTTCCCTCTGACCTCTACCTTAAAGAAAGCTCTCAATGTCCACTGTCCTTGTAAGTAGTAGTAGTATTAGTGTATAATGCCCTTCATCAACCAAAGGTAGTTTTGACAATTCCACCCCCAGTTCCCAGAGAGAATGTTTCCATTTTATCTGTTGGACCTTTCCCAGATGTGAGACAGTTTCTGCGCTTTCCAAACCCTTTGATTCCAATAATCAAAATTATACACGTAATGCGAACCAGACCTACCTTGTGGGTGGGGTGGGATGTTCCAGGTCTACTCAGTCTTCAAGGCATAAAAGTCCACAGAAACTTTAGTCACATTCGGTTTTCAAATCTTTTTTTTTTTTTTTTTTTTTTTAATTTATTTTAATTTATTTTGCAATACAATTCAGTTCTACATATCGGTCACGGATTCCCTTGTTCTCCCCCCTCCCGTCCCCCTCACCTTCCCCCCAACGCCCCCCCCCCCATTCCCATCTCCTCCAGGGCAAAGCCTTCCCCACAGACTGAGGTCAACCTGGTAGACTCAGTCCAGGTAGGTCTAGTCCCCTCCTCCCAGGCCGAGCCAAACAATCCTGCATAGGCCCCAGGTTTCAAACAGCCAACTCATGCAATGAGCACAAGATCTGGTCCCACTGCCTGGATGCCTCCCAAACAGATCAAGCCAATCAACTGTCTCACCCATTCGGAGGGCCTGATCCAGTGTGGACCCCTCAGCCATTGGTTCATAGTTCATGTGTTTCCATTCATTTGGCTATTTGTCCCTGTGCTTTATCCAACCTTGGTCTCAACAATTCTCGCTCATATAAACCCTCCTCATTCTCGTTAATTGGACTCCCAGAGATCCACCCAGGGCCTAGTCATGGATCTCTGCATCCAGATCCCTCAGTAGTTGGATGAGGTTTCTAGCACAACAATTAGGGTGTTTGGCCATCCCATCACCAGAGTAGGTCAGTTCGGGCTGTCTCTCGACCATTGCCAGCAGTCTGTTGTGTGGGTATCTTTGTGGATTTCTGTGGGCCTCTCTAGCACTTTGCTTCTTCCTGTTCTCATGTGGTCTTCATTTACCATGGTCTCCTATTCCTTGTTCTCCCTCTCTGTTGTTGATCTAGCTGGGATCTCCCGCTCCCCCAAGCTCTCTTTCCCTCGACCCTCGCCTTTCATTACCCCCACTCATGTCCAGGCTAACAGTCCAATTAAGAAATGGGCTATAGAACTAAACAGAGAATTCTCAACAGAGGAAACTCAAATGGCCGAAAGACATTTAAGGAATTGCTCAACATCCCTAATCATCAGGGAAATGCAAATCAAAACAACTCTGAGATACCACCTTACGCCTGTCAGAATGGCTAAGATCAAAAACACTGAAGACACCTTATGCTGGAGAGGATGTGGAGCTAGGGGAACTCTCCTCCACTGCTGGTGGGAATGCAAGCTTGTACAACCACTTTGGAAATCAATATGGCGCTTTCTTAGAAAATTGGGAATCAATCTCCCCCAAGATCCAGCTATACCACTCTTGGGCATATACCCAAGAAATGCTCAACCACACCATAAGAGCACTTGTTCAGCTATGTTCATATCAGCATTGTTTGTAATAGCCAGAACATGGAAACAACCCAGATGCCCTTCAACTGAAGAATGGATAAACAAAATGTGGTACATATACACAATGGAATACTACTCAGCAGAAAAAAACAATGGCATCATGAGGTTTGCAGACAAATGGATGGATCTAGAAAAAATCATCCTGAGTGAGGTAACCCAGACTCAGAAAGACAAACATGGTATGTACTCACTCATAGCAGGATACTAGACATGAAACAAGGATGAATTGTCTGCTACTCACATCACCAGGGAGGCTACCCGGAAAACAGGACCCCAAGAAAGACACAGGGATCGCCCGATGACAGAGAAATGGAATGAGATCTACATGAACAGCCGGTTTTCAAATCTTTAACCCTTTAAGGATCTTCATTAGAGTATATCCATGCCCCTTTGGGGCATTTTACCAGAAAGACTTCAACAGTGTCCAATGCACACCTGTATCCATATTCTCTCTGATGAGCAGTATGTACTGAGTTTTTTTTTTAAGATCAAACTGAAATACTTGACTGGCTATTTATAAGATATTGTTAATGTAAAAGAAGTAAATTTAATTGTTCAACATACTCTCGGGTAGGCAATGAAGACATGGAAATGTAATAAAACCTGGATTTATGTGGTAACTTTCCCTAACAGCCAAGTCTGGTTTTGTCTTCTGATCTAACTCGAGTGACTATGAAGTTAATTGTATCTCCAGTTCATGCTATCTCATTAGTACTTCTCTTCATTTCCAGGAGTAGTCTACCTTCTATCCAGGATCACAACTTTGTCTTTGTACTTTATGTTTCAGGTTATGAGGCATCTTATTGTGAGGAGCTTTAGCCTGTAATTGGTCCTCAATTTGGGCAGTTGGTTCTCTGTCAGCCTACCATAGAAAATAACAGAAGTAGCTGCTGGTCCTGCCTGAATTGAATCACATACCAGCACAACTGTATGTGATGCATATCACCAGCTGCGATGCAACCAGCCATGGTCTTCACCTTTTACATTTGTCCAAGCTCTGAACATCCTCCCATGCTTCTTTTCAAGCCACTTATTTTCTGCCCTTTTTTAAAAATAAAATTCATGTTCAAATCTTGTGTTTTGTGTGTGATTTGGAGAAAATCTTTTGTTGGTGTGAGATGCCATCTACTCATTGGTTACAGTGGTGAAAGGGGCATTGAGAGTATTCGGGGATCTAATTTGCTTTCTATCTTATATTGGCAAACATGGTTCTGTAGGAAAGTGGGAGCTGTGGGAGAAGGCAGTGTTTCGTGGTTCATAAAATTTAGAATGCCGGAAGAAGTGTCTATACCATGTTGACCATACTCCACAAGCAGCCACAGTGACTCTAGGATTCCAGTTGGTAATCAGTGCTCTTTGGCTTGACCAGTAATCCTTTGTAGGACATTCATAGACAACTTCAGAGGAATCAAAACTGTTTGAGCACCTACTGGTTCTGCAGATTGGGAAGCTATGCAAGGACTTCTCATTTGGTGCTTTCCCATTATTGAATATTAAGGAGATCCTTCCTAAGCTGCCTTACTCAATGAAACCAATGTTGGAGGCCATATGCTCTCCCCTAATCCAGTGGAATGACTGTGATCTCTCCTTAACTTGTCAAATATTGTTGGTTTTTCATATATTTTGATGTAGTCAAGTGAATATAGACACTACAGTGTTGAAAATCTTTGAATGTAGTTTATATCCACCAGAAATATTTATGTTTTTCAAGCAGCACTATCATACAATTCCATAAGCAGTTCTGTATCATAGAACTCAACTTTTTTCTAATGCTAGATAAGTCTTCAACTTTCATATAGCAGCACCATTCTATTTTTCTTTCTGTTATTTTGATTGTTCTGAGGATGTCATATTGGATTAGTTTTTTTGAGACAGGGTTTCTCTGTATATCTTTGTTGCTTGCTGTCATGGAAATTGCTCTGTAGACCAGGCTGGCCTTGTACAGATCTGTCTGTGGCTGGAGTTTTCTCCAGTCCTGCCAAGCCCCATGGACCCCACAACCACTTACAAAATAGTCACTCAGAAGATCATATTAATTTAACTGCTTGGCCATTAGCTCAGGCCTACCACTGTCTAGCTCATACACTTAAACTCAGCCCATTTCTGTTAATCTATATGTCGCAACATGTTCCGTGGCTTTACCTGCTGCCTTTACATGCTGCTCCCTGGATGGCAGGCTGGCATCTACTCACTCAGCCTTCCTCTTCCCATAATTCTCTTTTCTACTTGTCCTGCCTATCATATACATCCTACTTGGCTACTGGCCAATTAGCATTTTATTTATCAATCAATCATAGCAACATACATTCACAACATACAGGACATCCCATGGCACTTCCCCTTTTCTGTTTTTCAAAAAGGAAGATTTTAACTTTAATATAGTAAAACTACATATAACAAAACAATTATCAAGCATGGGGCTCAAACCCATGTCTGTCTGCCTCTGACTTCTGAGTGCTGCGATAAAAGGAGAGTGCCACCACTGCCCGGCTCATATTGCATTCTTAGAACACGCAATTTTTCATTTAGTCAATTGGTATTGTCACTCTGCATAATTTCTATATTGTTCTTTAATGTTTTATTATTTGTCAGTATATTCCTCTTAAATTAAAGAGCACTCCATTGCATGCATATTATAGTATACTTCTATTTTTATCTACTGATTAATATCCATCATTGCATATTTTTTCTATTGTCCGTAATGTTACTCTGGACACAAAGTTACAAATATCTCTTCAGGGTCTCCCTTAGGTTCTATTGAGTACATGCCTAGAAAAAGAGTTACTATACCTTCTGCTCCAAAGCAGCACTGCTCATTCCTGAATGCATGAGAAGTGCCAAATCAAGTCAGTGGGACATAGTAAGAAGAGCGTTCTAGTTCAGAGACCAGAGGGTTATGAGGAGATAGTATTTTGACCTGTTGGGTAGAGAAGTTGGGAATGTATATATTCAAATTAAATTGTAGGCCTGAGCAAATAATTTGTGAATATAATTTTTTATATTTAAAATATTTATTTATTAAAAATTACAATTTATATGAGTCCTCAGAGAATGTATAGAATGCATTTTAAGTGAAACTCAGTACAATTCATGTTCATATGTTTCTACATCATAGAATGCTATTACCCTTTTATAAAGGATTAACTAAGGTACAGAAATAATATAAGTAACTTTCTCAAGGTCATACAACTATTAAGTGTCATAACGGCCAATGCTTCCTTGTAGATGTATCCAACCTTCTTATTAAATAATAAACACAGAACCAATGCAAAGAAGAAAGCCAAGAGGTCAGAGCTAAGAGCTAAAACCTTACCCTTCCTCCTGCGGTGGTCCTACCTCTCCGAACCAGAGCTACCCCTGTGTTAAAGTCTTTATATAGAGTTCCTGTCCTGCCTTCTCATTGGTTGTAAACCCAACCACATGACCGCCTCCTCACAGCCTGTCTGTATAGGCCTCCAGGTTTTCCATGATTGGTATTAAGATTAAAAGCATGTGTATCCAATAATGGCTGTATCCCTGAACACACAGAGACTTACCCAGCTCTGCCTACCAAGTGCTGGAATTACAAGCGTACGCTACCACTGCCCTGCTTTCCTATGGCTTGCTAATAGCTCTGACCCCCGGGCAACTTTATTTATTAACATACAAATAATATTTTAATACAAATAAAATATCACCATATTTCCTAGTGCTAAAGTCTACTGATGATAACAAAAACATTGATCTATCTGTTGTTAATGTGAAACACAGACTCTGTGCTAGACTTTAGATGTAATTTAAAATGAGAATAAGGCAATGTTTTTGTATGAGGATTGTCCTGGAGTGGAAGGTAAAGACTGAAACATAATGAACTATTGCAGCCTATTTTAAAAAATGCTCAAGAATGCCTACAGAGTGCAAAAGCAGCCCAGTGTAGTTAGTATATGACTGTACTACACTTAGACCAGGAGCATATTTCTTGGTTAGTGAGGCTCTATCTCAGTCCTGAGGCAAACCCTGGTGTCATCCAATTACATGCATATTTTATGGTCAAAAATTTCATAGGCATCTGGTGTAAATGTGTCCAGCACACTCAGATAGTTACCTTATGAGAGATAAGCCCAGTATACCAAACAAGTCTCATGACACTCTAACTACAAATAGCTTAAAAAATTAATTCCTCATGTGCCCATGGCTATGGTCCAGCTAGGCATTTCACTAGATGGATTGTCAATCTCCTGTCATAATACTTATAAATTGCAAATGGAATCAATTTTCCCCACCATTGAGGCATGGATGGAAGCTACTGTCAAAAGTGTAGATTTAGAGTGTGGAGAAGATGACTGAGCTCTGAATATTGATCTGAGACACATGACAAGTTGCTACTTTTCTGTAGAATTTAGTGAAACTTTGTAACTACATGCAGACTAGAGTTTGGTAAAATTCACTGCTATCCATCACACTGACTTTGCTGAGATATTGTCACGCTAAAGTAACATAAAGTATGTTAAAGCGCTTTGAAAAAGCTGAATCTTCTTCATTATTAAGGATTAGAAATGCACTTCCTATTGCCCTCCTCTAACTTTCTATAGTAAAAGGATAAGGCTGTTGAGAAGGAGGTAAATGAGAACAACAAACCCAGGCTGATGTAACTCAGTGTCTGTTCCCCTCTTTAACATCTTGATTGACAACAAGGTCCACAGCCACCCCAAGGAGAGATTTGTCCCATTCTGGAAAACCTGAATGCTTGTAAGCAGAGGACACTTATCCTTGGGATGCTGCTTTATAACTTTGTTTGGAGGCTTTGGGAAAGTATCTACTGCTTGTGCTGGAGTAGTAAATGACCATCTGAAATGATGTCAAAAGGAGATAGATCAATAGTTAAGAACACTTGTAGCTATTCCAGAGTACCATGGCCTGATCCTCAGCACTGACATGGCACATAACATTTGTCTGTAATGCCAGTTTCATGAGATATGACAACCTTCTCTTGCCTTCTTGATCTAAGCTTACAGATATACATGCAAAGAAACACATGGGCACATATCAAATGAATAATAATTAGTTTAAGTTAAAAATGGTTTGAATTCATTCTCCTTTATCAAGGTCCTTGGGCTCATCCTAACCATTACCTGTGCTCACTCTGCTCTTAGTAAATCTATCTCTTATGAATCTTTACCTTAGAAAGTCAACAATGCCTACTTCAAACCTAGGTAGAGTACAGACAAATAGGACACAAAACAAGGGTCATGAAAGTCATATAAATTTCAGACAGAAAATAAATGTATGGTTTTTTTTATGTCTTGTCATGTTTGGTCATTTGTCATATCCTATTTCCTATGGTATCTTTCAAATGTTTGTAGGACACACAATATATAACCCATCTTTTATTAATAGCATATCATGTGACTTCTCAGAAAATGGTACAGCTGAAGTTTTCCTGTGTCCACCCGGATTCTGCAGCCACTCAGACCCAAGTAAACACACAGAGACTTATATTACTTATAAACTGTATGGCTATGACAGGCTTCTTGCTATTTAGTTCTTATATCTTAAATTAACCCATTTCTATTAATCTATAAGTTGCCATGTGGCTTTTGGCTTATTGGTACTTTTATATCTTGCTTCCTATGTATCTGGCTGGCAACTCCTCACTCAGTCTTCCTGTTCCCAGAATTTTCCTCTCTGCTTATCTCACCTCTACTATACTTCCTGCCTGGCTACTTGCCAATCAGTGTGCTATTTATTAACCAAATCAGAGTAACACATTCACAGCATACAGAGTGATATCCACATCACTTCCTCTTTTTTTTCAAAAAGGAAGGTTTTAAATTTAACAT